TCAGAGCAGATGATTCACTTCTCCTATATAATTACAGGTAGCTAAGTTGACTGTCACCTGAAGTGATTTATCAGTTCCTAATACCACAAATTACAAACCACTACAATAGGAAGAAATAGCAACAAATATTCCAGGCTTCCTACCGCTCCCAAAAGCTCAGCACAAAACCCGAGGAAGCTGTGTTAATATTCAGGGCTATGAAGGCCAAATATAAAGGAGGTTCAGAAATAAATATGTTGGATTAGTGTGTATGGGGTCATATTTAAAGTGCCATGTCAATGGTATACCCAGGCAAGAGGTTTTCAATGATATGTTTTTTAATCTGTTTGTTGAAGTCAAAGCTTTCTGGTAGAATATTCTCTTTCAAATGTTCCTAGCTGTTGTGTTTGTATCAGGAAATATTCACTGGGGTGAAGATTCAGGTTTGCATCTCTGGTATGTGTCTCTGATGATCTAGATGACTGTCTTCAAACTCAGGGACTTCAAGAAGCTGAGTTTGAACAGTCACCTAAGACATCAGAGTCTGAGGTCTAAGGCTCTGGTGTGGTTTAGACAGCACACAAGGGTCTCCTATGTGCTTCAAGTGAACACATTAACTCTCACACTATCCCTTGTATAGGATAAATGTTTTTTCAAGGTTCAGCTTTTCTTTTGCATTAAGATGCATACCCATGCTGGGATCTTGAGTACATCCTAATGCAGTGGAGAAATGTCTTTGCAATTTGATACAATGCTGTGGGACTATTTCTCACCCAGTTTTTTTTCTGGCCAATTTAGATAGTCAGTGTCAGTACTTGCCAGCATTTGAGGAAGATTAGCAAAGGGATAAAAGTAGCTTTGGGAATGGGCATGAGGAGATGTATTTAGCAATGCAGAGGGAGCCAAAACCAGAACAGATGCTTCTATTTGATCTAGGTCCTCCTTTGAAATATGAAAATCAGAGTGAAAGGTTTCAGAGGTGTGACTTGAGCTTTGCCATGTGCTCTTAACCCAGAGAAGTGTTAACAATAACAGCATGGTTAAGTATAGAGCTATAGATCAACAAAGCTGAGTTAAACATAAATAACAGGGAAGCAATTGAAAAGCAGTATATGCATAATGAATTGCCTCTTCCAGTGAAGAAAACATTACCCAACATAACACACAACAGTGGGAAGGATAAGGTTTGATAGGAAAATGGAGCTTTATTTTTGCCTTAATATAAAGGTTTTGTGTACATGTTGTATCTGAGTACATGTTATGGTATGCATGTAATGATATTGCTAATTAGCATGTACCACCGCTAGTTACGAAATTCTGACTCGCCTCTGTCACTCAGCTGCACCTCTGCAGTCTGTGTTTGCAGAACCCCTTGCAAACTCATCATCAATACTCAGGAGAAAAATTCAAGACGATTTGGGTTTTTTGTTTGGTTGGGTTTTGTTTTGTTTTGTTTTTTAATTCCCTGTAAGAAATACATTAAAGAAAGCAGCAAGAGCAATTGATTCTGCGGGGCGTTACTTTACCTCTGAACTTACCCACGGTTGTGAATACTGTGCAGCAGAAGAAGAGAGACCCAAAGAAAGTCCATATATCTTTTGGATTGACAAACCAGTCTCGTTCAACTGTGCTGAGCAGTGCATGGATTTTTTCCTTAAATAGCTCCTCATTTTCTGTCATGTTATCTGTTACAGTAACAAGAGGAGATACACTGAGTGTTTGCAGACCACCACTCCAGGAGCAGCCACCCTGTTTTCAGCGATATTTACTCCAGCTAAGGATTTGCTCATATTCTTTGAGAAGACAAAAATATTCACCTCACCTTCCCCTTTCCCCTCACCCATGAAAAAATGAGATGGGTTCAATGGCTTTGATGAATAAAAAAACAAGGAATAAACAACCTCTGCTCCAACAAAGTCAAAATATGGCACAAAAATAATCATAAATAAACAAAGTAAGATTGAATGTTCAGCTTCCAGTCTGAATGTCCTGTTTCATTTTGGACTCAGATTAAGCTTCTTTTGACCCAAAGACACTAGAATGTGGGGTCATCAGTACGTGACTGACATGAACCATTCAGGTGGCACTGCCCAGCACACCACTGTGAATCCCAGAGCCTGCACCCCTCACTCCAGCTGACCTCTGCTTGAAAGGACATCATCAAGAGATCCTTGTCCCAAACACATCATCACATCTGCACAGATACCTGAGTGAAAGCCCACGCCTGTATATGAGCCTTGAGACAGATCCAGGAGGATTTCTATCCCATCTCTACCACTTCCATCAGCACCACCAGGTCTGGGGCGCAGCCCGGCACCTGCCTCCATCCGAGCATCCCATTGCCAGAGGGCTGGTAAAGAGGCTTAGAACTGGGATGAGGGAGCTTGGAAGAGACCTTCTGAGACAGAGGATTCCAGCAGTCAGAGGGAAATACCATGGGAATCTCAGCTGCTCTTTAAGGAGTTGAAGTAACTTGGGCAAAAAGGAGAACACAGGCACCTGAGGAAAAGTCTTTTCAGGCAGGGACACAGGGACTAGGGAAACTTGCAATCAAAAATCACAGCTAAGCAAGACAAGCAAATAACAGCAGTTATGAGCCAGGCAGAGGGAAAACCCTGTTTGCAGGTTCAGCTGTTAATATTTTGAAGAATGTCTTCAAAAGCAAAATATCTCATTCAAAAAGCAAGAGAATGAGTAACTCCCTGTACAGTTAAGTCATTTTTAAATGCCAGTACATACCTGATAAATTTCTGGAGATGTACCACAGATTCTGCAGAAATTTTCTGTATTCTTCACTTAAATTGACTTTCCGGTTACCTTCAATGTGGGAAAACATGAGAGCCCCGAGAAAAGCATAGATCACAAGAGACAGAATGAAGCAAGCGTGAGGAAACACTGCCCAAAATATTTTTTTACATGTCCCTTTACCTCTTGGAGGTTGTGATGTTGATGCCATCCTAAGCTTTTTTTTTTCTCTTTAATTTTGTGGAAATGACACAGCTTTTAGAAACAAGGATGAGGATGTAAAAGCATTTGCATCCTAGAAAAGCTTCTCCTGTGAAAACAAGGATGGTTCTGCCTCAGGCTTTCAGATCACATGTCTTTATAAGTGAAGATTGCACTAGAGTCCCCATGGAAAAGGAGCACAACTAATCAAGCCTTGAAATATTGCTCGGTTGACGATATGCCACTCTATCCCTGAATTACTATTGATCAGGCAGTGCTGTAATGCACGCAGATTGCCAGCTTCTGTGCGTTTCCATTGAGCAAACTCATGTTTAAAGTTTCTCCTTCCGAACTACAGTTTCCCATTGATACACTAGAAACAGTCCTAACTCCCAGGAGGGAAAATGCACTCTATAAGAGAATGATTTCTTTAAAGATTTCTTGCAGAAATGAACAGGAAAACTTAAAATTAATCAAAAGAAGGGGTTGGCACTAATTGTTGTCACCTCTGGGCAGAGTGCAAAACAATTAGTTTCTCTTTCAGATGGCTTAAAGAATCTCTCTCTATACCATGTAACCCTTGTAGGGGGTTTCTTTTGAATTTTAGAGGATTTTTCTCAAAAAAGAGTTAATAAGGTTTTGCCCAGTTCTCACCTGATTAAAACCTTCCTATTAATTGAAACTCCAACTGACCTTAGTAAGTAAGAACTGCAGGATTCAATTCAAGGTTAATGATCTTTGCAAAGTATATCCAATTTTAAACTAACCCTTTCTTTTCATCCTTTATTTTAAAACACTAGAACAATGAGCAGTATTGCTGCCCTTTACAATGTTAGTAGTGATGGTAAGGAGAGTTGGACTTTACAGAAAGTGTTAAATATTTCATGTCTAGGAGTTTTTCATTAAAAGATAGAAACAGTCTCATGCAACCAGGACCTACTGAGCTGTATATAAGCGACACGCCCATATTGCAAAGAAATACTACATGGTTACAGTGATTTCTTTTGGGTCTACCTCTCAGCAAATTGGATCACAAGATATCATATGCTCATCAATATGGAAGTCTCCACTATATAAAAGAGGCTTTCAAGGCTGAGACAAAAATAATCCTATGTGCTTGCTGTTTTCCTGGTTATTTGCCTCATTGACTCAGTCTTGGTTTTGACAACAGATTTCTAAATCCTCTTACTGCAGTCAATCTCTGTTTTTTTTTCTTCCCATTGACCTGAAACACAGGGTTGGAAACTGAAAATGTTCATAATTAATCAAAAGCAGCAGAACTTCCTGAGAGGTGTACTTAGAGATAATGTACTTACTTAGGTTTGGTGTCCTTACCAGAGGAACAAGGAGCACAGAGAAGCGAAAGGGGCAGCTGGAAGAGCGAAGTGGCTGTGGGCAGCGGGGTGCTCCACGCTGGAAGCACAAGGCTGGCCCCTCTTGGAGAGTTTTGTAGAGTGTGGGTACCAGTAATACATAAATTGATAGAGTTTACTTGGATTTCTAAAGAAGTTTTCGCAAAGACCTTCTTTAATGGTTTTTAAGGGAGTTAAACAGCTACGGCATAAGAAAGTCTCTACAGAAAGAAATTAATGGCTAATAGAGAGGAACAGAAGGAGGAAAAAGTGCAGGAAGATCACTGGTGGAGTTACATGTGGGTCTGTGCTGGAACTCTGCTGTTCCATGTGTTCATAAATGACCAGGAAAGAGAGTAAGCAGTGATGGGCTCTGGGGTTACCATCACCACTAAGCAACAAGGTCTGAGGGTAAAACATAACAATTCCACAAACGCATCAGCTCAACAAGGGATTGTGGTGAAAAAGGCTGAGTATGTTGGGAATTATGAGTTTAAAATAGAGACTAAAACACAGGACATCTAAATACTACTGTACAAATGCATGGTTTGCACATACCTGGAGTAGTCAATGTGGTTCTTGTACCCTGCTCTCAGAAAGGACACATTAAAACTGGGAAAGTTTCAAACAGCAAGAAGGATGATTGAAGGTACGGGCAGCCTTCAAACAAGGAAAGACCAAACAGTGTCTTTGGCCAGGCTAAAAACCTAGTAAGTGAGGAGTATATGACAGCAGTCTTCAAACTCATGGGTGGTCTGGAGAGAGCAGCTGAGGGTTCAACTGTTCATAATATCTTCTGGGACCAGTACTGGGGACCATTAAAAGAAGCAAGTAGAAACCTGGTTGAAAACAAGTAAAACACCATGGCTTCTCACGTCGCTGGAAAATTCATTGCTAAAGGATGTTGAGTTTACATACACTGAAGATGAAGATCGAGAGATGTTTAGAAGAAATATCATTAAGATTTACTACAAAACACATTGGGTTCAGTAAACTCTCTGAACCAAAAATAGTTGGCAACTGGGAAAGTTAAAGAGAGTACTGGACCAAATGGGCCCTATGTCTGAGGCAGTATTCTCACATTTATGTTCTTCTAAAAAGGGTTTTTACTGTCCAGTATGGTGATTCTGACACAATTTTTCCTCTGGGGTTTTTGATCTGCATCTCAGATATAAACCTCTCTCCTCCAAAGTGCTTTAAAATCTTCTCAGCCTCCTCCTATACATGGTAGGACTGCAAAGTATTTTGTAATCCCCAGGAGCTTCTTAGCCATTTGCAACATCAGACTCTGAGCTTGTGACAATGAGAAAATTTAATAAAAATATATCCAGAAATGATTTTTACATTATTTGCTTAATCTCAACCATTTCCCACTATTGCTTTATTACATGTTTGAACTCAGTTGCTTAAAAGCAAATCCCACTAACCACAAGTTATTCCAAATTGAGTTACTGGTACTTGTATTGAGAGAGATTTTTGCAATACACATTTCCCATTTGCATTAATGGACAGCAAACCTGCTCTTTTCCTAACTTCCATTTCTTTGATTAGGGCAAATGTGAGTGTTCTGAAGGTGCTGCTTGAAATGCAAGTTTGTGACCACAGCTGTTAGGTTTAATTATTCCAGTACAAATATACACAAATTAGAATTCTTACTTTATCTGACGTTCCTGGATTACAAAGGTTAAACTGAGAAGGTCATTGCATGGGCAGTAAGAATTTTTTCAATAATCAATAAAACTCTTCCTGCATTGAATCATGTACCTTGTTGTCAAAGGCCTGCTGTGTTCACCTCTCTTCTATGAAGCACAGTTGGATTCATCGTATTGTACTGACAAATACTCAATAGTGTAACGCTTTCTCCTTTTTTGAACAAAACCAAAGTGACTTGAAAGATAGCAAGTGCCTCATAAAAAAATGGCAATGGACTGACCTGTTTGCTTTTATTTGCATCCAGCATTGATTCTGATGGAAGTATTTTTTGATCCAGGACTAAGACCTCAGCCTGGTAGTACTACTACTGGTAGTATTGGTTCAAGATTGGATGTTAACAAGGATCACAGACAATTTTATCTATTGCTCTAGCATATGCACCCTGGAAAGTATTCCCAGTATTCACTCATATATCTAAGCTCCCCAAGAAAATGGGTGTTTCTTTATGAAGGTGGTATCAGTCCCACACAAAAACACTCCACCCCAAACCAACAAAGAACAAGTAGCAGCAGTAGTTGTATTAAGAAAGCAGTCTCAAGGCTGTATAAACGTTAGATTTGATCCTCAGATACGGACACCCCACCTGGTGAGGGGGCCTAGGGGGTGCCAGTGAGGTTTCAGTAGTATCTGTGAGCACTTTCAAAGGACTCTTTCTACCTCCCATCCACCATGCTTACCCCTATCCCTCCCATCCAACAGGCTCTTGAGACCTGTCCCTCTGGGATTCCAGTCCACGGTGGGGCCCAGGAGCGGTGCTGACCCAAGCCCAGGCCCAGCAGAGACACATGACATTTGTGCAGAGCATACGTATCCTGCCAGTTGAGCGGCACCTGCTTTTCAATCACCCTGCAATTACTTTTCTCCTCCTGACCTCAACCATATTCCTCTGGAACAGAAGTTCCCCTGACACCCCCTGCTCTTCCCACTGTCCCCTCAACACCTCACACTGGGATGGAGAGAGAAATGCACTAATTGGCTGCGTAGGGTCTATTGGATACCCCAGGGAAAGGTTTAGCTTGCTTTGTATCCATCTTTAAAAGTCTCAGCTTTCGCTTGAGTCAAGTGCTTGAGCCTGTAACCTCTGGGAATATTTGAGAGCACTCAGGACTAGCATCCTGACACTGCATATAATGCTAAGTGGATTCAAAGATGTCCAGGACTCTCACCCTGAATAGGAGCATTTCCTTTATCATTTGTTCACACCAGAGCCAAGCAATCGGTTCCATAATTTCATTTACGAGAGGCAAACACTCTTCTTATGCTGCAGGAGCAGATAAAGCTTGGGTATTAGTCTCTGTTCCCTCTCTTTTTTTAGCATGGATGAAACCTCACAGCCTGGAAACACCTTTGATGGGAGGCTTTGTTTGCTTGATGTCTAAACAGGACCGGCCTTTGCTCGCTCGCAAGCTAACCAGCCGCTTCATCCCCTCTCCCCCACCCCCAAATCATTGTCTGGGTAGAAAGACTTCACTTGCCTCTCTTCTTTCACCTCTTTCACAAACCTAAGCAACTAGCAACAGTCTAGAAGGAGCACAGCTGCTCCCTCAAATGCACTCAGAATGGGGAAAATGTTTCTCCTTAGGGAATGTGTATCCTCAGCATCTTCTCTCTCCCAGGGCTTGGCCTGTAATTGCCCACAGGAGCCAGGGACACAATTATACATGGAAGGTTTAGTTGCTGCAAAGCTCAGGTTTCCAAAACAGCAGAGCTCTGTGGCAGGTGCTTCTCCCTCCTTCTACTTGTCACCAAAATCAGGAATGAACTTCTTAACACCAATGTAGTCTTAAGCAGCAGGCATGCTTTATTACAGTGCCGGTGGCATGGGGGACTGTTCCACCTATCGTGCATACTGACTTGTCCCTCTACAAAAGCTTTGTACTATCAAAACATAAGTAGTCATTATATTTCCAATAAATTATTAACATATTCATTACATTTCCAAGAA